AGACCCCCGCCAGCGGCTCGTCCAGCCGAGACATGCTGCGCCGCAAGCTGCCGGGGCTGGAGAGCGCGAAGCTCAGGGAAGAGCGAGCGTCGTCCTCGTCGGCCTCCGGCCCGCGCCGGAAAGAGGGCGTCCGGCTGACCGGGGCAGACAGGGCCGAGGCTTTGTCGAAGTTGGGCGCGGTGACGGACCACCGCTTCTCCAGCCCCTTGCGGGCTCGGCTGCTGGCCTCCGAGAAGGCCTGGGAGATGACCGAGCCGCGGTCATCGGGCTCCTCGTCGCCCTGGGGCTTCTTCCAGGAGGCGTCCGAGGCGCCGGCCACCGTGTGCCGCGTGGCCCTGCGGAAGGCACGCTCGGGGGAGGCCGGGCGCTCGCTCAGGGTGGAGAACAGCGTCTCCTCGTCCCCCTGGCCGCCGATCGAGTCCTTCAGGTTGCCCCGTTTCCGGTAGCTCAGGGAGCTCATGACCGAGGCTGGCCTGTCCCCAGCCTCGCTGGGCTCCTTGTCCTCCTTGCCCTCCCTGGGGGCCGACCTGAGGGGGAGCGACCGACAGACAAGCGGCACACAGACACAGGGGGAGAGAGAGAGCGCGCGTGAGCCCAGGGCATGAGGGTGCGGAGGGGAGGGCACCGTGCCCGCCTGCCAGCGCGAAACAGCCTCGCGCGAACGCCACGCGAGCGGTGGGCATCGTTCTGGCCCGTCGGCTCCGCTCCCCCTGGCAGCGCTGCGGTCAATTGACTCGGTTGTCAGCTACCTGGAGCCGCCGCGCTTCCCCCCGGCCGCGGAGAAGATGGAATCACCTCCAATAACAAAACGTTTTACATCGGCGCCGCGGAATAAATTAAACCAATTAAGAGCAGCAGGCTCAGATCTCTCCCTCGCCCGGCGGCGGCTGCGGGGGGGAGGGGGTGGGCGGGGGCCCCTGGGACTCTTGAAGCCAGAGCAGGAAATTGGCTTTGTACGAAACCGATCTGCGCTCATCAGGCAGGCGTTCCCTGCAAGGACGCGCGCCGCACCGCGCCGTCCCGCTCCTGGGTCGCGCCGCTTGTGCGGGGCTGGGAAAGCCACCGCCGCCTGCGCCACCCTGCTGATGGGCCCGGGGGGCTCTGCCGCAGCCGGCTTGGGGGTCTGCCATGTCGTTCAGTGCACACTGGCTCGTTAGCACCCGGCACCGGCTGCAGGCATCCTACGCCTGGCGCACGTGGGTCCCCACGGCCAGTCGTGGGCCACCTGGGAGCACGGGAATGGGGCAGACACCTCCAGGCTCCCAACAGGGACCATCTGTCAGCACTGGCAGCGCGTGCCCATGGGCTACCACTTGCCCCCGTGCCCCCAGCACACACGGAGCAGCGGGGAGGCGTGCCGTGCCTCGGACCATGGAGGGATGCTCCCTGCAATGAAGACCCTGGCCCGGCACAGCGTGGCCCCCGCAGATGCCTGCGAGTGCTAACTCCCCCGTGCCCGCTGCCCCCGCACCCGGGGCTGCCTCCATACCAGGGTAGGGGTCATCGCCCGCCCCCCCGCAGCCCCATGCCCACCTGGAGCTCTTCAAGCTGCCGTCGTCTGAGACCGCCTTAGACGAGCCCTTGTTCTTTGAGAGCCAGGACTTGACCCCGTCCACGCGGTCCTCGAGCTCTGAATCCATGTCCGAGTCCCCCTCGCTGCAAGGAGGAAGACAAGGGGCAGGGGGAGAGGAAGGGTGTGCTCAGTGCCCGGTAGCGGCGAGCCCAGCCCTGCCAGCCCGCGGTGAGGGCGGCCAGCTGGGCTGCAGCCCTCTGCCCCCACCATGCCCAGAGGGCAATGACCACCTTTGCTGCCAGGGGCAGCTGGTGGAAGGGGTCCTAATCCTTCGCTCCCAGCCGGGGAGGCAGCTGCACGCGGGCAGGGCCTGGTGGGGCTGGCACGGGGCAAATGTGTGCAGAGATCCAGTGTCCACGAACTGCAGCACCTGGGCTGTCAGGGGCACAGGCCGGCATCCTGCACCCCGGGTAGCTCGGTCCAGCTGGACTCACGCAGGACGTGGCCCGGCTCCGGAGCTCAGCACCACCCCCTCCTCCGCGAGCCCAGCGCGGCCGTGGCTGTCGAGGCACCGGCTTCCCTCCCCGCAGCGTAAGCTCGCTGGCGCTGCCATGCAGCATAGCGGCCCCGAATAAATCACGATGGGGGAGGGGAGGGAGAAGGAGCCAGAGCCCAGCAACAGCGACGCTGCCGTGAGCCGCGAGCGGGGAGGGCTCTCCACGGGCTCGTTCCACGGGCCTCCATCCAGCGCAGCACTGCCGCGAGGCTGCCGGCCCGCGTAAACGGGCATTTAGCTGCCGGAGCGGGCACGGCGCCAGCGAGCGGGCGCACGAGCGCGCCGGGCAGATTTACGGCACCGGGCAAGCCCCTCCGCGGCGATAGCGCCGCCTGATTGATATGCACGCATAAAAGCCGCCCTATCTGGCTTCCGCCCAGTAATTTACAGCCGCCGTTCGTAACCATATTGATCGCCTCGAGCACGAAGGTGCCGTGCGCGCTGCAAAATCCATTCCCCTGCATTAAAGGCACTTGTGTATAAATCTCTGCTAATACATAACTGTTTACTGCTTTCATTAGGGTGATGGCAATAACAACTGTATCTATAAGGAAATCGAAGCATTATTCTTCTCCCTCGGCGCCGGGCTCCATCACCGGCCCAGCTCCCCGCAGCACTCGGCGGCCGCCGGGGCAGGGGAGCCTCCGGGGAGCTCCGGGAGGCGGCTGCGACAGCACGCGCGCCTGGGAACGGCCGTATAACACAGTCTTAAACGAGCGCTTTATCCGCCCAGCCCGAGGCTGCCGGGGGAGCGCGGCGAGCCCCTGCATACGAATCCTCCTCGTTACATTCGCAGCGAGGAGCGGCACTGGCTCGCGCAGCCGCCTCCGCACTGCCTGGCGCGGCGGCGATTGCCCTCGCAAGCCACGAGCCCCATAAACAAACTCTGGGGGCCTCCAAGATTTTAAATCGTCGGAATTAAACCTGCCGTCAAACACAATTTATGTCCGGGCGCGCGTGCCATTAGTTAACCGGGTTCCAAATCACCAGGGAACAAACAAACGGAGCCGGAGCTGCGGAGGATATTAATTGTGTGTGACAACAAGGCTCCAGTGGCCCTCTATCACTGTTACACACTATTACATTTATCATTAGCTGTTATAGATCCTCTCGCAACCCACAGGGCCCTCACGCTCAGGAGACGCCGTGCCGGCACAACCGCTTCGCAGGCGGCCCCAGACGTGGGCGCTGGGAAAGCTCCCGGCTTGCTCCGTCTTCGGGGCTGGGGTGATGCATCCCAGACGCTGCCCCTTGCATGCTAGGTTGCCCTGCCAAGGGCACCCCAGCCCTCCCCACCTCTGCAAGCCAACTCCTGGTGGGGCGGAGGGCGCTCCAGACACCCCCACGTGCAGCCCCCCTTCCCCAGGGCTGCGCCCTGCCTGTGCTGCAGCAGGCGAGCAAACCGCGCGGGGTGGCGGTGATGGGGCCGTGCCCGGGCACGGGGCAGATTAGAGGTTTAGGGGCAGGACGCACATGCGTGGGGCACGCAGGGCTGCGGGCAGGCACCCTGCGGGCATGCTGCGGGTTAGGCACGCGGGTTAGGTCCGAGCCAAGGAGACAGGCCGTGCTCACGGTTTGCTCCTGCGTTTCTGGTATTTTGTCACCATGTCTTGCAGGCTGCGGGGGGGCGGCGGGGGGGGGAGGGCGAGGAAATAAAGAGGAAATAAATGAACGGGAAAGAGATAAAGAAACCAGAAAATGAACTGCAACAGGAAGGAGCTGGAGGCGGGGAAGGGGATGGGGGCCTGGCTTTCTAGCAGCCCCACCGTGGGGAAGGGACGCTTGCACCACACGCTGCGTCTGGGCCAGGTGCTCCCAGCTCCCTGGTCATGCTACCCCACCACCGTGCCCTGGGCCACGGCTCTCCTGCCAGTTTGGGGTGGGGGCAGGTTTGGAGGGGCCCCTGCTCACCTGTTGATGAGGTCCTCGTTGTCGTCGCTCTCCATCTCGTCCTCGATGGCGGCCTGCAGGTCCCCAATGCGCTTGAACGCCAGCTTCAGGTCAGACTGCAGGCTCTGGTTGGCAGCTTCCAGGCTTTCCAGGTCCATTTCCTGGGGGAAGGCAAAAGGGGTGAGAGTGGGCCCCACACGGCAGCCCTGAGACACCGGAAGGGGGCAGTGGGTGGCACCAGCACCCCCAAATCCCGCTCGCCTGCCCTGTGGGGTGCACAGGGTCCAGAGCCAGTGAGGGCTGCAGGGCAACAGTGACCCAGCGCTGGGCTGGGGGCTTCTGGGCTGACCCCAGGCACAAGCCCCCGATGCCCCGTAGGCCCGTGCCCGCCCGGGCTGCTCACCAGCTCGTGCTTCTTGCGGCTGGCTTCCGTCTCCTTCTTGGCCAGCTCGCCCATCTCCTCCTTGACGTCCCGCAGCTGGCGCTGCAGCCGCTTGTTCTGCTCCTTCTCCCGGCTCTCGGCAGCCGTGCGCTGGTCCCGCTCCTCCGTCAGCTTCTCCATGTTCTCCTTCAGGCGCGTGGCCAAGCTCTGCGGGGCGCGGGGCACAGTCATACCCCAGCACCGCGGATCACGGGGACCCCTCGCACCGGCGCGGGGGGCCAGTCGGGCCTAGCAGGAGAGCCCGGGAGTCCCGGCTGGGAGCCCCGGGAGGCTGCAGGGTCCCCATGCGCTGGGTGAATCCCCGTGCCACCCCTGCCTCCCCCCACCGAGCTACGGCAGGCGATGGTGACACCGGCCCCAACAGCGCCGGCATCAGCGTTCACGCGCCGAGGATAATCCCGGTGGAGAGCGGCAATTACCCAGCTCCGGCTCGGGAGCCGGCAACACCCCATCGCTTCCCGCCGCGCGCTAATGGAACAAACGAACCCCGCGCCATGAATTTACACGAGGGGGCCTGGCCGGGGGGGCCGCAGCGTGCCGCGAAACGTCCCCGCGGGCGTGGGAGGGGGCAGCGGTGGCGCGGGGGCGGGGGTGAATTGGAAAAATAGATTTAACTTTGTGTGAAGTAATTACAGCATGTAATGTGGGGAAAAATAGATCCCGTCCTTCCCCGCCGCCCAGTCAGCCGCTGCATATTTATGGCCCCGGCAGAGGGAAATAATGGCAAGGAAACATGAAGAGGAGTGCTAAGCTCCTCGGCTCCCCCGGCAGCGGGGAAGCGCGGCGGCAGAATATAAAGCAGCTGCGTTTAGCGGGTGCGGGAGAGTCTATAATTTCACTAAGTCAATGCAGGGAAATAGCAGCACTTTGCCGGGCACCGGCTGGATGGCAGATTACTGTGATCAGCGCCGCCAATCGCCGTCCTGCAGAGCCGGCAGCACGGGGACGGGGCGCGCGCAGCCGGCACAGCGAGGCTGCCCGGGGACGGGCTCAGGGACAAGGGCACGGGGCTGTGGAGGAGACGGGGGGACCCCAGGTGTTCGGCGGAGGCCTGTGCCCCTGCCCTGCACCGATGCTGCGCTGCCGGGCACTGAGCGCGTCTGCTCCAGGCCCGCGGGCCCCTCGGGCTGCCCGGGCACCAGGCCAGTGGTTGCGAGCTGAAGCCAAGTGGCAGGAGTGGATCCCCCTAGGATCTCCCAGGGCAAGGTGACCGGAGCCGGCTGGCAGCCGCGTGCCACTCCCCACCCTCTTCCCGCTCCTACCTCGAGGCGCTTGACCTGCGTCCTCTCGAACTCAAGCCGCGTCTCCAGCTCGCGGATCTTGGCCTCCTGCCGGCTGACCAGGGACTTGTCCACCATGGATTGCTCCAGGAACTCCAGCTGGCTCTGCAGGCCTTGCAGCTGCGTGGGGGGTGGAGGGGCACGTGCATCAGCACCGCGGTGCGACCCCCGGGCACCTCCTGCCACGGAGGCAGGGGAGAGCAGATCCCACACACGTGCCGCACTGCTGCTGGCCTGACGCTGTGCCTCGAAGCGCCTACCTTCTCCTGCAGCTCCTGCTTCTCTTTGCCGGCCTCCTCCAGCTGGGCCTGGAGGTCGTTCATCTGGGCCAGGTCCCGGGAGGCCTGCGGGTGTGAAGCCGTTTCACAATCCAGACCCCAGCCCCCAACCTCCGGCAAGGCCACGGCCACGGGCGCTGCCACCCCCAGGGCTCCCCCCCACCCCAGGACAGGGCGGCAGCCCCCGGGACGCCGGGCCTAAGCGGCTTGGTCACCTGGGCCACGGCCGCCTTGTGCTTCTTCATCAGCTCGTTCATGTCCTCCTGGTCCTCCTCCAGGCGGCTCTGCACCTCGTTCTTCTCCCGCTGCAGCCGGCTCAGCTGCTCCTCCAGCTGCCGGGAGAGGGGGCAGTGAGGCTGGGTCCAGCCCCGCTTCCTGGCCCCCCCCAGTCTCAGTGCTGCACCCCACGCCTCCCACCCGTGCGGGCTGCCGAGGGGCTCAGCCGGGGGAAGCCCCGTGCATCACACCAGTGGGTCCGATGGCTGAGCAGTGCTTGCACCGAACCTAGAGGCACACCGGATGGGGCCTTCCCCTGCACCACCCCATGCAGCACGACGGATGGAGCAGCTCATGGACAGCTGGGCACAGCCAGGTGCCTGCAGATGTGAGCCCAGCCCCCGCCCGTTTGCTACCAACACGGCCTCCCACCCCCGCTGGCGTGTTGCACCCTGGCCCGAGTGTGCCCGAACTGCCCACCAGGACGTGTGCGCCACGCCCCAGCCAAGGCATTACAGGACGCACGGACAGACCGTCCCCACCCGCCTGCACCCAGCACGCACCGCGCCTTTGGCCTTGGCCAGGTCGTCGATCTGCAGGTGCAGGTCCTCGATCTCCACCTCCATGGACTTCCGGGCCTTGACGGCTGCCGCGCAGGTGAACTCCGACTCCTCCAGCTGCAGAGCGCGCCGGGGGGAAGGGGAGGGATCAGCACCAGGCCGGGTGGGGGTCTGCACCCCCAGCCCGGCCCACTGGGCTGGGACCCGAGGAGCCGGCTCTGGGGCTGCAGTCTCTGGGACCCGGGGAGCCGGGCACAGGGTAGGGGCCGCGGGGGAAGGCAAGGCAGCTCCGTGAGAAGAGCCAGCTCTGCACACCGAGCCCCCGAGAGAGGTCTGGAGCCCGGCAGAGCAAGAGCGGCGCAGCGCTGGCCGCGACAGGGAGGCACCTGGTTCCTGAGCTGGGCGATTTCCCGCTTGCTGGGCGCGTTGTTCTTGAGGTGGTCCAGCATGATCTGCGCATCAGCCAGCAGCGCCTTGGTCCTCTTGAGGTCCTTGCGCAGCCGCTTCTCCGTCTCGAAATCCCGCTGGTTCACCTGGGCATGGGTGGGGGGGGTCAGGCACGCACAGGGTCAAGCGCCCAGACCTGGAGGGCAACGGCCTGGCACCCTCCGCAACTAGTGGGTAACACCAAAGCGCACACCCAGCACCCCTGGGCTAGATGTCACTGCCCCCCCAGGGCAGGAGCCCTGCCCCAAAGACCCTGCCAGCCGCAGCGCAGGACAGGACCGTGCTCCCTGCACCGCACCCTTCGCCCTTCCAGGGTCAGCTTAGGACAGGCCAGGCACGGTGCGGGGACCCCCCACTCCCCAGCGTGGCGGCACCTGGTCACTGACGGCCGACAGCTTGCTTTCCAGCTCCCGCTTGTCCCGCAGCACCTTCTGCTTCTCCTCGTACTCCTCCTCCAGCTGCACCTCCATCTGCTTCAGCTGTGGGGAGGGCAGGCCACAGCGGGGGCTCAGCACTCAAGGCCCCAGGATGGGAGCGGGTCGCCCCCAAGTAGCCGCCGAACCCCAAAACAAGCCCACGTGGCTGCAAGAGCCGGAGCTGGGATTTGGGGCTGAGGAGCATCGGCGGGGGCCTCATTAGAGGCCTGCTCCAGTGCTCACCCCCATCCCAGACCTGCCCAACTTCGATAAAGCCTCGGCCCCGGTGGGGGACGAGTGGAGCAGCTGGCCCAACTTGCCAAGCCAGCGAGGGCCGTGTCCCGACTCACGTGGCACCAGGGCTCCCAGCTCCTTGGCTGGCAGCCTGCACAGGTGCTCATGGCGGGGGAGGGTGGCAGGGGATGGAGCAGAAGGGGGAAGGTGTGGGCACCCCCAAAACACGGGCATGGGCACGGGCAGCTCCGTGGATGGATGCCGGGGCCAGGCATGTAGTGTGCGGCAAACCCAGGGGCCGGGCGCAAGCTGGAGGGACCCAGCCCCGGGCAGCAGAGCTGTGCTAGGATGCAGGGAGGTGGCAGGGCCCCTCCTGGGTCCACAGTGCCCTCAAGAGGCGAGGGAAGGGTCTGGGCAGGGTCCTACCTTCTTGTGGCAGGACTGGCGGATCTCCTCCACCTCGTCGTCGCGGCTCTCTACCTCCTTGGCGTGCGTCTGGCGCAGGCGCTCCATCTCCATCTCCAGCCGCAGCTTGGCCTGCACGTGGGCACGACGTGGTCACAGCCGCCTGCCCGCAGACGCCCGTGCTCGGCGGCTGCCCGGTCCCAGGGCGTTCGTGCACCCGGCCCCCCACACCCAGGGATCCAGGCCAGCCCTGGGGCCCGCACCCGCCTAAAAGCCGGTTCAAAGCCACAAGTGTCATGAATGCGAGGGTCTTGGTTCAGCTTGGGGAACACAGGCTGGATGTGCCCAGCGCCCGGGCAGTTTCATGCAGCACGGTGAGCCCAGGCCCCACGGCCCCCTGGGCGAGAGCCAGGCCCCCGAGTTGCATGCCAGAGCAAACCTGACCCAGCCGGGAGGCGGCGAGAGCTGCCTCGGCTCCGCGGGCGGGCGGCACGGCCCAGCCCAGCTAATGACCGTGTGCATGAAACCACCCCGCCCCGAAACCAGCCCAGCAACGCGATGGAGATGAAGCTGCCGGCTCGGGGCGGCCCCGATCCCTTGTCGGAGAAGGGCTGCGCTCCCAGGCCAGACCCCTGTGACACGGCACCGGGCTGCGCCAGGCACCCTCCCCAGCCCGCCGTGTCCCCGGTACCTGCTCCAGCATCTGGATGGTGCCCGCCTGCTCGTCCAGCTCCTCCTCCTGGTCCTTGACTTTGGCCTCCAGGTCCCGCAGCTGCTTCCTCACCTTGGCCAGGGAGGCCTCGTCCTTGGACTCCTGGGAGGAGATGTCCTGCAACTCGGCCTCCAGGGCCTCTGCCTTTTGGGTGAGGCTGGTGATGTCGGCGTCCTTATCCTGCCGAGAGAGCGGAGTGGGAGCCCGCTGAGCCGGCTGCCCCCGTGGGCTGGGCACCGGGGCTGGGCGCTGCTCGGGTGCTCACCTCCAGCTGCTGCCGGACGCCGAAGACCTCGGCGATGAGCGCGTCCTTCTCCCGGCTCAGCTTCTCCCGCTGCAGCTTCTCCCGCTGGGCCTCCTCGTGCGCCTGCGCCAGCTCGCTGTCAAACCTGCGGGCGGGGGGCGCGGGGCCCTGGCTGTCAGCCGCCATCCGGGAACGGCCCTCCTCCCTTCCTCGTCGCCCACGCACCGTGGCAGGTGGGCCGAGACAGCGGGCGCGGCTCCCGCTCCGAGGGCCGGGGCTGGCAGAGCAGCGCGTGTGGGCGTCCTGCCGCCTTCCCTACCCCGTCCCGCGAGCTTGGGAATCGTTGTGCACAGGGGCCTGCCCGCAGGCAGCTGAGCCAGGAGGGCATCTGCTGCCCCGCGTGGGCTCTGCCCTCGCGCCCACGTGCACCCACCTGCGCTGCTTCTTCTCCAGCTCGTGGTTGCGCCCCTGCTGCCCTTCCAGGTGCAGCTTGGTGTCCTGCAGCTCGGCCATCAGGCGCTGGCATTTTTTCTTCAGCTGCTGCAAGGCGCGCTGGCTCTCGTCGCTGTCGGCCTGCAGGTCGGCCAGCTGCGGGCCGGGGCCAGACGTGGCAGGGTTAGGACCACGGGAGCCTGAAGCCTGCGCCGGGGCTATGGGCAGGACCCCTGGGCTCGGGAGGACTCACCCGCCGGTCCAGCTGCCGCTTGCTCTGCTGCTCCACCTCCAGCTTGTCCTCGAACTCCTGCTGCATCCGCTTCTTGGTGAAGTCGATCTCCCGCACCGCGCGCTCGTACTTCAGGCGCCACTCGCCGCCTGTGCGGGGGGCAGCGCCGCGTCAGGCACCTCAAGCCCGGCACGGGCAGGGGGGCAGGTAGGACACAACCCTGACGGGGGTCTCAAGCTACGGCTGCCTGTGCGGCTCCGCGACCATGCCACGCAGCCACGGCCACAGCGGGTGGGCAGGGAACAGAGACGCTGAGCCAGCTTGCCACCCGCCCACGGCACGAAGGCCCTTGCTGAGCAGGGCGGGGGGAGAACAGGGCAGGGGGCGAGACCCTCACCCGAGTCGTCATCGTCCAGCTCGCCGTTGAGCTCGGCCGCACGAATGAGCCGCGCCTCCATCACCTCCATCTCCATGGCCTCCATCTGCTTCTTGAGCGCGTCGTACTTGGCCTGAGCGGGGCAGAGGCCCAGCTCAGCGCGGAGGGAGGGGGCCAGCCCAGCTCCCGACAGCACCCCAATGCCCCAGGAAGACCCGAGAGGCCTGGCCTCCGGGCTGCCCCGGGGCGAGGGGAAAGGCACAAGAGCTGGGAAGGGGGAGCTGTGGGCCAGGACCCAGCAGAGGCAGATGAGCGGCTGGGGTCTCAGCAGCCAGGAGCGGGGCAGGTGCACGGCTCATGCCTGCAGCGTGCCCGGCCCTGGGCAGCCTGTGCTGGCAGACGGGTGGCGGGCGCGGGGCCAGGCGGGCACCCGGGCAGGGGAGCAAGATGCAGCTCCGGCCCTCACCTGTAGGTCCTTCATGTCCTTCTCTGCCCGCAGCCTCTCGGCCGTCTCCGCGTCCAGCAGCTGGGAGGCCGACTCGCCTGTGTTGCGCTCGTCCGTCAGCTCCGACGTGAGCTCTGTGATCTGGGACGGGAGCAGAGCCGGGCTGAGGCGGGCGCCAGGACAGGACTCTTCCCCCCGGGGCCGGTGGAGGGAGCTACTGAGCCCAGGGATGGGGAGGGGGCCAGGCTAGCCCCGGTGCCCCCCACAACAGGTCCCCCCAGGCTCCCCGCCCGGGCTCGTACCCTGCCCTCCAGCCGGTCGTTGGTCAGCCGCAGCTCGTTGCGCTCCTTCTCCACCTTCTCAAGCTTGCCCTTGAGCTGCTGGATCTCCTCCTGCACGGGACAGGGGTGAGGGGCTGGGCGAGGGGCGCCCGAGCGCAGCCCCCGCCGCGCCCCCGCAGCACCGCCAGGGTGACGCAGCGCAGCTGGTGCCAGGAGCTCACGGGGGCTTTCCCGGCTGCGCTCCGGGCACCGTCTTGCAGCCCACGCGTGGCCCCGGCCACCCACGGCTGCTTGGGCATGGTGCAGCCGGCACCCTCCACGCTGCTTGCTGGCTCCTCTATGGGGGGCCGAGGCTCGGGGCCAGTCGGGCCCAGGCACAGACCCCAGCCCGGCCACCGCTCTCCCTCCTCCTGCTAAGCAGTGAGGGGGACCAGGGCAGAGGCCAAGGCGGCCACCGCAGGACCCTGCCTCCTCCTGGAGCAGGATGTGGGGAGCATCCCAGATACCCCAGCACGCCGGAGCCCCTAACAAAGGCATGGGCACGGGCAGGAGAATGGGGGCACGCACAGCCCCCGGGGCGGGCAGCCAGGGAGCAGAGTGCCTGCGACAGCCGTGCAAAGCCGCCACGCAGGCCCCTGGCGCGGAGCTCCCGCTCCATTCTCCACACCATGTAATTGGGCCCCGGCAGCCGCCGCCTCTCCTATGCTAATGACATGCTGATTTGCAAATTAGCCAGCTATTTGCTGCGTGTGCTGGAAGCCGGCTGAGCGCGAGAGAGGCGCGGCAGCCCCCTGCCCGCCTCCACCGCACGCACACACGCAGCGTGGCACCCCCTGCGACACGCACACACAACGCAGGGAACCCCCTGCAACACCCCCCTGCATGTGTACACACGCACGCACGCACGCGGCAGGGCAGAGACCCCCTGTGGCACACCCCTGCATGCACTCACACGGACACACACAGAGAGCAGGAAACCCCCTGCAACGCAGCCCT